AGGGATCTTCTCCTTGGAGCATTTCTTTTAGCTTTAAAATAAATTTCCTGGAGACTATATGGACACAGCGTATGACCTCAATGTATTTGAAAAACTCCTGTAGAGAAATGCCATCTCATTTGTCTCTAGGCATATAATGTCTCACCTTCATATTTATCCTCAATATCAACACCAATTGACTTCTAAACCAAATTAGAGCTCAGGATCTGGGCAAAGGCACACAGTGATGCTCTCTTAGATACCTGCTTCTGCTCCATGGTGATTCAACGCATCTCCTGGGTCAGAAAACCCTGAATGCAGATTCAAGCAAGTTACGTACTATCTCTGAGGCTCACAATGCTGAGAGTTAAGACTGTTGGCCTTACTGAAGAAGGGCGAGTGTCCACATGGTTCCTGGCCCTAATTCTTACCCCCAGGTATACCCTCTTACTTCCTATATAAACCCCATAACTGTGAGTTAATGTGGAAGTGTGTGTAAATCTTAAAGAGCTTTGCTACAAAACAAACAAAACTGTGTGTCTTACATGAATGGTTACAAAGAGTAAGCCAAGCAAAATCCTGACATGAAAGCAGAGTGTCATAAACAGTCGTGTGTCTGTGATAACACATGTTTCTATACCTATATTACTAAATTTAACTCTGACCTATATGTAAATTCTTAGTATATTGCTAAATGCAGAAAGCAAATTTGCTTCCAGTATATAAACCAGTTGTCTGAAGCCTAGGCAATCCCATGCGTCAGAGTAGAACTGTGTTCTGTAAGTTGTGCCGAGGCTGAGTTTTCAGAACAAAGATCACCAGGTTTTATTTCGGAGGCATCTTGGTGTGGACTCGAACCTCCAGCCTTTTGGTTAGCAGCAGTGTGCATTCCTGTCCTACTAGGGATTCCTTCTGATGGGTCTCTGGTTCACATCACTCCACTCGGTAAACAAAGGTATTTGTCAGACGCTGGGTTAGGTCTGAACTATGTAACTAACTCTCTGCCTGCATGTTGATTCAGATTCGTAGTGACCTTGGAAGACAGCATAGAGCTGCCCCTTTGGTTTCTGAAACTGTAGCTCTTGACTGGAGTAAAGAGCCTCAGCTTTCTCCCTCAGAGCAGTTGAACCACGACATCACCAGGGCTCCGGTGGCCAAAATAGACATGGCAAATATCCCCAATCCTATCTTCCAGGAGCTAAATAGTTAAACCATAATTGATAGGTAAGACCACCAAAAGACTCTTTAAAACCTCTAAGAATGATGGTGTGGCCAACTGACCATCTGTGGCCAACTGACACACTCAGTTCTCTTTTCTCTAAGGATTCCTATATATGAACATGTGCGTGTGTGTGTGTGAACATGTGTGTCTGTGTGTGTGAACATGTGTGTGTGTGTGTGTGTGAACATGTGTGTGTGTGTGTGTGTGTGTGTGGTGTGTCTAATAGTTCATCTTCTTCCCTGTTATTCTAGGTCCCCAGGGAAGGGGGGACAAGTCGGAGACCAGGCTTCACATAATAAGCCTTCATTCTTTGAGAGTTGCTGAGTTATCCCCTGTCTTCTCTTACTAGATTAAATCATTCCAATCCCTTTAACCTTTTCTCAGAGGTTTCATTTGCCAACCTTCAGCTTAATCATCTTCATTGCTCCCCTCTGGACTCACTCCAAGCCCTCAGCATTAAAATATGTTGCCTTTGCTTCTGAACTCATTCTTCTAAGCCACTGACTCTTTCACAAAGACCAGGACCTTCCCCTAACACTGGCAAGGGAGTAGGAGCAACCCCACGGAAGAAACGCAAGTAGAACACTCACACCAATCCCTGCTGCCTACCACCCTTCTGAAGAAGGGAGGGCCCAAGCCAGACAGTTTCTCAACAGTGCCAACAAGGGGGGTTGGCAATTACCTAAATTATTTTTCAGCAGATAAGACTATTAACAGCAAACATGAGGTTTGTTGTAGTTACACCTGAGGTTCGCAGAAGGGTGCTAATGAAATCACTGTACTAATAATGCTAATGAGATCCTACAGGAGTTTTTGATCCTGTAAAATACCCATGGCTGTCAAGCAGACTGTTGAGAACGTGCTAGGCGTGCTATGCGAGGTGGAGGTGATGCCTTTGACAGGTCAATCCTCGCATCCCACCAAGAGCCACACTTCAGATGCCGTCAATCAAGATCAGTAAATCCCTCTAGAGCTTAGAGAGCAGCAAGTGCAAGCAGCGCTGAAGAAATGCTGTCTGGAGGTGAACCAAATCCATATGGTTCACAGCATTATGCATACCGACACGCGTGGGAAGGGGCAGGTAAAATCAGAGCTCTAGTGAAATCTCCCTGCAGGTGCTGCACAAGGACTTCGATGCCATCTCTTTTCCTCAAATCCCCTCTGATTTTGCCTCTGCGTAAGTCACCGTGATGGTCCTGACCCCCGTAAACCAGCAGCTTGTTTTGTTCTACACATTAAAAAAAAAAAAGTCAAGATCCTTCTGACAAATTTCCACATTCTCCAAAGAAGCTGAGGAAAACCCAAATGGATAAAATTCGGTTTTAGGGACTCCTTTGTTTTGAAACAAAGGTGTTCTAGCGATGTGGATGGATACGTGTTGGGCTGCTAACCCCCAGTTGGGCAGTTCAAAACTACATGCCACCCTGGGGAAGAAAGACGAGACTGCTCTTGTGAAGGTTTACAATCTCAGAACCCCTGTAGAGTGTTGAGATAAATAGGAATAGGCTTATTGGTTGTGGGTTTGGCTTGGGTTGAACCACTTTTTTGGGGGGTGGGGGGAAACAAACTATTTGCTTTTTCCATCTGGAAAATTTCAAGTGGCCGAGTGTGGCTCCCTTGTTAGTTGGCAAGGGAGCGATGGAGGAAGGATCGCTTCTTCAGGGTGACTCCAGCCAGCCGGTGCTGGTCACCGCTGGTCACACTCCAGTTCTGAAACTGATTTGGCTCTAGCCAGATCCTGTCTGGCCAAGAACTCACTGAGAGTTCTGGGAGAAGTCTGTCCACAGCAGACAGGGGGCAACCAGCTGCATTCTGGAAAATCCTCCTTTCAACATTCCCTGAAGACTCCCTCAGTTTGGAGGCAGGACCGAGTTGTGATTCGGTGTGGAATTTTCCCAGGCAAGTCTGAGTGCATTCCCAAAGGAGTCCCTGGTGGTGTGAACAATTAAGCCCCGAGCCACTGATGGAAACGCTGGCTGTTTGAACACACCCAGAAATGCCTTGGGTGAACGGCTCAGCCATCTGCTTCAGAAAGGTCACAGCGACAGAACTCTATGAAGCACAGTCTTAAGGTGGCACACCAAGGCTCACCAGGACTCCGAATTGACTCGAGGGCAGCTGGTTTGGTTTGGAGTTTGGTAATCCCCACCACAGTCTGATGTAGGAAAGAAAGACTTCCATCCTGGGAGGTATGGACTTGACATACCAAGTTCTGAAGGCCTTTGAGTTGATTCTGATGCAGAGGGACCGTTTGTGAGTCAGCATCAAAGTGTGGGCTAGAGGACTGCTAACGACTAATTCTTCAGAAAGAGGTCGGCCAGTCTTCTTCCAAGGTTTGTCCAGGTAAACTTGGACCAACCACCCTCAGGTTTGGAGCTGCCCGTGTTGTACATTTTGCACAGGGACTTCATGGAATTCATAGAGTCACTTTCTAATAATCAGTCATTGGGATCAGGGGCTTATAGTCATAGCACGTGGAGGAAAAGTGCCCTCCTAGGATGAAGGCAGACCCATCCTGACCTGTTGAACTGTCCGGGTCAACCCGCTATGTCACTCTGACTGTAGCTGGCTCTCCGGGTCCATGCCCATGCCCCAGGGTTCTGTCTGACGGCATGAAGGGAAGGTGCATGTAATCGACACCATTGATACGTGAATGCACATTTGAGATCTGCAGACTCCAGAAACATGGGTGGTTAATGTCAGCGTATGTTAAAAGTTCTTGTATTGATAACTATGCATTACAACTTAGTAATTACAATTTTGAAAAATAAAAAGAGGATTCCAGTGATAAGGTGGAACTACATAACCCCTGCTCTTATTCATCGGGAGTGAATGGCGGCTCATAAATTCTTATCAACAAGCACTATAAGATCATTTTTACATTGCTTCCTGCTGCCATCTTACACTGTCGTGGTGATGGCCAGGGGCCAGTAAGGTTGGGTCAATTCATCTTGCGTAAAGACCACTTGCAACTCCCTCTCTTTACCTGCTGCAGAAATTTTACCAAGTAGTTTCAAAGATGCAGCCATTTACATAACTCCACTGGACTCCGCTGCACCTTGGGGAGGAATTTTTAGCCCGTTTGAATTTGAAAAAATAATGTCAGCTCACATGGAAAGGGTTCAAAGGGGCAGCACAAAAAGAAAGTGCCCCGATGGTGGTGGAGACAGTCAGGGGAGAGGAAGACAGATCAGAGCGAGGACACAGATGAGCGGGTCTGAGAAGCTCACATCCATGAGGCGCAGGTGACGTTTTCAGCAAAACTTTTTATGAACCTGAGAAGAATAAAATTAGAAAGTGCCTGCTGACGTTCCAAAGCCGACCATGGGGGTCCATGCTTTTAAGAAATAAATAAACACAGATCGCCAGCCGATTAAAAGACCTCCATTTATACAAATCAAATGAACCTCTAACAAAGCTTGTTTGGGACATGAATAAATCATGTACCCATGAATTATTCATTGTTATCAAGAAACAAACTGGGGATTCCAGGAACTGGGCCCGGGGAGGTGCTGAAACGGGAGAGGAAGCGAGTTCATGGGCTCAGGGCCACCAGGGGAGTGGTGAGGACAGACCACAGGCACCAGCACCTGATGCGCAGGCCTTGCCAGCCCTCCTGTGTCTACAGGGGACGCTCCAGCAGCCTCAGCGACACCCCCAGACCACAAAGCAAGAAAGGTGTAACCCTTTGATCCCTGGGTTAGAAAATCGCATGTGTTCGGTAAACAGATAATAAGATATGTGTTTTTTTAAAGAATTCGGATTTTGGTTTTGGTTTTTGTCTATTTCTGTTTTGTAGTGCATGACATGCATGGTGATGATGCGCTCTGTGGACTAGACAACGGGGTTGAAAGTGGGACTTTAGAGAGGCCAGTTAGAACTCTCTTTGATTTTAAGCTGTTCAGAGTCATCTGGCCTGCTCTTTCATGGCTTTGGGTGTGAGTTTTGTTTTGGGTTTTTTTTCTTTGAAGGAAGAGAGGGAGCCTCCCAGATTTAACCAACTAATCAATGTATGTGTGTGTTCCAGGTCCAAACTGCTTTGCAGGAACGACAATAATCCCAGCTGGCATCGAGGTGAAAGTGGATGAATGTAACATCTGTCACTGTCACAACGGGGACTGGTGGAAGCCAGCTCAGTGCTCAAAACGCGAGTGCCAAGGCAAGCTGACCGTGTAGAACCAAGTCCCCACCAATGACGCATTCGTAGGAGAGGAGGCCATGGCTTCTACGCTGCACACGTTTCAAACAAGACAGAACAAACTCCTGCCAGCTACAACAGGGTCACCAGCAAAACCTTTGGGGTTGACAAAAGTGAATATTTCACAAAGAGGACACGTCTCTCTTTCTCTCTCACTATCTAAAGAAATAGATACAGTCCACAGCTACTCCTGCTTTTGTCATGATCAATGCTGGCTGGTGACCTGACAACTGGATTTCTGGAACCTGCTCGAGCAAGCTCCTCCGTTGGGCTGGCCCTGGACAGCCGGCTTCCCGTCAGAGGATGGACTCCATTTTTTCTTCTTCTGTACTTCCGACCTGACATTTTTCTCTTATAGTATTTCTTTCCCCCTCTTTTCTAATTTCATCTTTAGAGGCTGGGGGGCCTGATCTGACTGCATAGTGCAGTTTTGAGTTGGGTGGGAAATGCTTTGGTTAAAAAAAATTTTTTAAAAGTCAGGCCTGCGGCTCCTTCCTGACCAGAAGGCCTGACAACAATCCAGTGGTTCCCTATGGGTGAACCATGCCTGGTAGGCTTAGAAAAGAGAAGCGCACACAGAGGCAAACCCACTGCTGGGCACGGTGGGGGACTGGTGCTTTGTCCATTATGTGGAGGCTCCCAGTTTGATTCTTACCAACCACACATCTCATTACGCCAACTTCCAAACTGCCAATCACCACTATTATGAGGAGGACCCCAGGAGCGCTCCTAAGGAAGCCAAAAGGAAACCGATTTTCAGCTGTAGCTCGAATCACCTGACTTTCTCCTGACACAGAATTTAGGTTTGAATTATAACTAAACGCACTCGTAACCCATGCTGTCACCCGGTAATATGCACACCAGAACCACGGTGAATAACCCCACTGTGAATCAGAGTCCTTCTGAACACCACTGTCCTTCGGTTGAGTTCAGAGGTGATTGAAAGCCAACAGTTCACACAGGCGGCTGGCGTGGTTTGAGCCTGTGTTTGCTACTCCTACAGGAACATCCGCTCAGCCCTGCGTTGAAAAGACAGGTTCAGGACACTCTTTCCACCTCAAGTGCTGATGTAAATTAACGACTAGGGTAGAGTGGGTCTTGCACAATACAATTCCAATTGTTGAAAATTTTTTAAATGTATATATTAGATACTGAATAATTAAAGTGAACCTTCAAGGAATCACATGGTTGCCCTGGCAATGCTGCGAGTATAGTAACCGAAAAATTAAACCACACAGGGTTTCTGACACCGCCTCGATTCAAGGGCAAAATTAGCTATCTGAACCCACATGGCATAATTATGTGCTTAGTCCACTCTTTGGAAAGCCCGATGCAGACCTGATTGGGTCCTTGGAGAAACTTAACAGTCGTCGTCGTCAGTAAGGACACTCCTCCGCTCCGGCCCCCACTCCCATCTGAGCTCAGTGGAAGGGTAATACTCTAGATCAGGGTTTCTCAGCCTCAGTACTACTGACATTCCAAGCCAGATCATTCCTGGCCTGTGCATTTTTAGGATGTTTAGTAACATCCCTGGCCTTTATCCACCAGTAGTCAACCCCCACACGTAACACACACACACACACACCAGAGTTATATATAGCAAGTGAGACTCTCCAGACATTCCAAATGATGCCCAGGGTGGGGCAGGACCAAAATTGCACCTGCCTGAGAACTGGTCTGGAATAATCGACTTAGAATGGATTCTGACCGGAAGCATCCCGGGAAAGTCCTGGGTACACTTGTGGCTGTGTCCTTTCAGGGTGTCCACAAAGAGCCCCAAGAGGCCAACCTCCTCCATAGTAGCCTCTGACGCCATAGGTCTGACCTCAGGACACACATTTCTCAGTCTCCTCATTTCCAATGCACAACCTCTCCTCCCCTGTAAGCACTTCCCATCATCCAGAAAGAGCTGTCATTTCCAAAATTAATGTGTTCACACGTTGGGCCTGACGTTTTTTCCGCACACTGTGCTTGTGTTTGCTACAATACAAATAGCCATGTCGGCATCATCCCATGGAAGAACACCAAGCTGCTTCCCCTTAGAACACCAATTTGCAGCAAGCTTGGTGCCTTTCAGTTGCCACCATGGATACATCATATAGACAGTCATGAATCATTCATGAACAATTCTGCATGATTTATTCCTGCACTCCAAAGTAAAGGCATTCCACACTGCAGCTTGTGTCTAGACAGAGATATATTATAGAGCTTTCTTTGCCCTGAGGTTGCCTGTTGCCAGCTTCCAAAATCCACACTCTTGGAAAGAAGTAAAAATAATAATAATAAACGACAGGAATAAGGTTTGAAACCCAGAAAATATGATTAATAGAGCCCTGCCGCATAGTACCCTATCTATTATTAAAGAGTGACTGTGTGCTTTTTACAGATAGAAAGACAGTACAACTGGGAAGCCGGGGTACAGAGATTTTGTATCAAAGTCTTGGCGCAGTGATAGTCACAGCAAGAATATTCTAGAAGGAAGTATAAGACATCCATCGAGAATGCTCTTCAGAGAGTCGGCAGAAGCAAGACAGCTCGGTGGCCTCTGTTACGAGGCAGAGAGGGATTTGTGTTGTTGGAATATTTTCGTCCCCCTCAGAGTTTCACTACAGCTGTCTTCTTTTGAAGACTTTGTAGCACTGACATCGTTGCCCCTTTAGGGGGAGAGGAACCTATACTGTGACAGAATTTCTCATCCCCCGACAAACATTTTGCAACTTCCTTCTACCCAGGTCATTGAGAAATTCTCTCCACACTCTGTACCACAGACTTCTGGTCTCGTCAGTTGTTTTCTTTCAAAGGCTTGCTCCGCAGCCAAGCTGCCGCCTCTCTGCCCCCATTCCTCCACTGCCTTGGGTTCTTCGGCTTTAAAGACAGCTATGTTTAAATAAGGGATCCACAGCCTGTTTGTCAGCTGATGCCTGTTAAAAAATTATTCAGTTTCTAAACCCTTTGGAAAAAAATAGTGTGCCTGAGAACTAGTGAGAAAAACAAACAAAAACAACGAAACCTGAAACTGTAAAAAAGGGGGATTCTAGCAACAATATTTGATGTGTAAAAGAATATATTATTAAAAAATTATTTTGTTAAATATAAAGTGTGTTAACCAGCAAACACTGTTTGTGGTATATTTTCCTTCCCCATGTCTCTCCTCTCTCTACCCTGGCTCTCGAAGGTGACGTGTCCAGTGGCTCCCATCATCTGAAAGTGCATGTACTGCTGCGGGGTGGGGTGTGGGTGGGGGGGAGTGTTCCAATTCAGTGATGTACTGGGGTTAGCATTTGCCTGGGTGGATTTTCATGTTTCATAAGTCAAGACCTGCATTAGAGATCACAGAGAAGGCTCAACGAAACCAAAAGAGAGAGCAGAGTGGAAGGAAAAACTTTTCTCTGACTCCATCTTTATAAACAATACGAACAATCATCACCAACTACCGAGTGTTTGCCCTGCGCCGAGCCCTGATGTAAGCACTTAACTTCTAGTGTCCGATCCAATCCAGAGAACACACCTTCGAGGGGGATGCTCCGTGATCTCTGCTTGTTAGTTGACAACTCAGGACTCAAAGATGTTAAGTCTTAGGAGTCATAAGTAGCAAAGCAGGGATGCTTTTTAGAAATTCAAACAGGAACAAATCTAGAGAAAACATTATAACAAGCCCCCATAGCCCAGATTCCAGTTATCAAACCCCACTCTTAAATGTCATATTATCAGACCTAACAAAATGCATAATCCTTTAGTGGGACACCTAATATCCAGGCCATGTTTACAGCTCTTAGACTTTCTGAAGAAATAATCAAAGGGAAGTGAAACATTTGTTCAATCCCGCCCATCCGTGGCTTGGGCGGTGAGTCTTCCTAAAGCCCAAGTGCAGCTCTGAATCCTGGTAGTGGCAGCTCTGGTGTTTCAACCGTTAAGCAGCTCAGCTGGTAACCAAAGGTTGACCGTTGGAACTCACCCAGCAGCTCCACTGGAGAAAATCCTGGGGGTCACCTCTGGTAAAGCTGAGGGCCTAGAGGAGTCTAACTTCAGGGTGCCTTGTCTTGCCCTCGGCAGCCCTGGTGTTCCTCAGCTCCTTGACCATTTTTGTGGGTGCCTAGTCCCACCCCACCTCCTCCCAATATGTGCTTGCTCGTCATGGTGTCTGTGGCTCTGGATAATTCACCAGTGATTAGATTCAGGACATTCACTCCCCAGTCATGGCATGCTTCTTGACCTAACAAAGAATCCCCTACCCCCCCAAATTCCGTGTTACAGCCACACACACAAGAAATAAGATTCCCAAAACATAATTTGGGGAAACACAGTTCCATCTATAAGCACTGTCGAGCAAGAGAGAACAGAGTTGAAATGAAGAGGGATTGACAAAAAATAATTAGGCTGGACGGCCCAATGGCTAGTTCTACGAAGTCAAATGAGGTCCCTGTGAGCCAAAGGCAACTGGCAGGAATAAGTCAACAGAGACCTGGGGTTTGTTTTGATACGTTTGTTTGTGCTGGGAATAAAACCAGTTGCTCTGTCAATTCAACTCAATGCAAACTCGTGGTGGCTCCATGTGTGTCAGAGTAGAGCCGAGCTCCAAGGGATGTTGAGACTGTGTTCTTGGAAGCCAATCGCCAGGCCTTTCTTCTGAGGTGCCTTGGGGTGTATTCAAATGTCCACCCTTTCAGTTCCCCGTGCAGTATGTTAACCATTAGCACCAGCAATGGTTATAGAAATAGTACTTGTTTAAACCCCCAACCCCAACCGACTGCCATCAAGTAGCTTCAATCCCAACCCTTTAAGACAGCAGAGAACTGCTCTGGAGGGTTCCCAAGACTGTGCATCTGTTTGGGAGCAGACAGCCTCCTCTTTCTCCCACAACGCATCAGGTTTGTTTGAAGGACCAACCTCAGTTAGCTGCCCAATGCTTATTCCATGGTGCCACCAGAACCCCTAAAAACTCTCTATTAAAACACCTTCCTGAACACTGAGCAGAACA